ATTTCTATGTGCATTCTAGTTAGATAACACCATGGATTGATGATTAACCAGTTAAATTAAACGGTTAACGGTGTCAACCTCTAAACCTCAAACCGTTGAATTTATTATGATCTTATGTTTTTGCTAATTCAATAAATACAAAAAAATAAAAATAAAACAAAGAAGGAATGAAAGAGAGGATGCATAGCGAGTAAGTTTTTAATAATATATTATATAAAAATATATTGACTAGAATTTTTCTTACAATGATATTTTGGCATTTTATGATATCCTCGATATGACACAATAGTAATCTTATAAAAATTACCGTCCATCAACAAATAATTTGATTCAAAAAAATAAATAGGTCAATTATTACAATCTACTTACCTCCACATGGAGAAAACCAAAAACTCGTCGTTTCGCTCCTATAGTGAGTGGGCTAGTTATTGGTGGAACACGGCTTAACAACCGAAACAAGTCCTTCTCGGTTCGTTTATTCTGAAAGCTTTTGCAAAAATTAAAATCAATTTTATTGACCTGAACTATGTTTGATGATCAACCGTTGTGACTAACCCCAAACCGTTATTAATATTAACATTAATATTTAATCATAATAATAATAATGTATCACAGAATATCACAAATAATGTAATAAAAAGGATTTAAATAAGTATAACACGATAATCAGGTTTTTTCTGACAATGAAGTAGTAGTACTATTACAACAACCTGGTAATCTGTTTAATTATAGTAATAGTAATAGTAATAATTTTAAGCGACAATCTGTGGCACTGAATGAATGCTCTGATTAGTCAATCTAGTTATAAATTCTTGATTGATCATAAAAATACAGCAACCTTCAAGAGCAATAGTAACGTAGCAAATATTCTATTGTGTTAATATAAGGAAAGCTTATTATCCATTTTTTAACACGTAGAAATTGTTAAAAAATTAAAACTGCATTTAACTGTTGTTATAGATTTTATTTGTAATTTGAAATTAAAGTTGGATTAGATGAACAAACGAAGTGTATTAATGATGTTCAGCGTGATTTTGATAAGAAATGGACAATATAAAAATACGTTAACTCAAATAATGTTGGTGACAAAAAGATTGCACGGCGATGATCTTGTTGATATAATCATATTCGCATCTCGGAACAAAACAAAAAAAAATTTTTGAATGAAAACAATAATATTATTACCCTCTTTTCTTAACATTACACATAATTCATTCCTTCTTTGTTTTATTTTTATTTTTTTGTATTTATTGAATTAGCAAAAACATAAGATCATAATAAATTCAACGGTTTGAGGTTTAGAGGTTGACACCGTTAACCGTTTAATTTAACTGGTTAATCATCAATCCATGGTGTTATCTAACTAGAATGCACATAGAAATAAATACAAATACCAAAACATAATCTATATTTATGTGTAATGATGATAAAATAAATATGGTAATCCTACTACCGCTAATGTTTTAAGAGAGTGTCAATCTTTACTTTTTTCTTTTGGATTGGCTTAGGCGGGATTTATGACTAGATTTTTTATTCGAATTATTCGTAATACAACTCAATATTAATTCGAACTATCCGTTTCATCGTTCGTTCGTTTCATTCGTTTCATTCGAATCCGTTTTATGCAAATAAACAGTCGATGTAATTCGAATACTCGAGTTCATAACGAATAAAACGAATAATTCTTACTATGACTATTTGCTAATAGGAAAAAAAAATTACTATTATTATCAATACAAAGGAAAAACACCAATTATTACAACTATTATTATTAATTGACTAATGAAAAGAAAATAAAAACATTTGCTTCTGCTATTACTATTATTATTATCACTACAAGGACGAAGGAAAAATAGAACTGATAAAGAAAATTTTTTCGATTGAATTGGATAATGCATATTAATATACTATCACTATATTATTATTCGAATGAGATTCGTTCTATCATTATTAGTTAAAAAATTTCACGTGATTAAATTAACCAGTTAACCGGTTAAAGAATGTTTGCGCGGTGCCAACCTCTATTGAGATTTATTATTATCAGAAATGTCATTATCGGTTCTCTTGAATACCTTTATATTGCAGGATTGGAAGTTTTAAAAGGATTGATTATACTGATACTGATGATCAAATCCTTGAATTGTTGACCCAAGAAACAATTACAATTTCTTATGGATCGTAGAAGAATTAAGCGTACGGAAGAAAATGAAAGAGAGGATGCATAGCGAGTAAGTTTTTAATAATATATTATATAAAAATATATTGACTAGAATTTTTCTTACAATGATATTTTGGCATTTTATGATATC